CTTTAAGGCCCTTTATCTCCTCCTCCATTTCCGCAAATTTATGAAGGAGTCCAGAACATGTCGTACAGGCTTCGTCTTCCTATTTGCTTTCCATATAGCTTACTAAACTCCCTGCTTGTTCAGCAGGAGGCGACTTGACAGCGATATATGCAGAGATTCAGTCGTTTGTACTACGAATAATGTTTACTCCTTCATTTATTTCAGTCTGTATGCCGTGCGCCGATAGTATAGTGGTGATCTCGCTGGTTACCCCGCGACGGAACCTGAGTATAAATCCCACTTTTGGCGAGTTTTCCGCACATTGTCCTGAAGGTGTTTTTTCGACGCCCATTATTAATTCAAACCATGCGCAAGGTATTCTAAGTGTGGGACGAAGTATTTAAAGGTGCAGGAGAAGCTTTTTAACCAGGCCAACAATATGAAGCAGATAGCAAACGACTAAGCCGCTCTTGGATCTGGAGAGTTCCTCGGTGCTGTCGGCAGACAATTGATACGAAAGAGAATGGTCGTCCCAAAAAAAGATATGTCGGAGTTTCGTGTGGATCGTTCAAGGAATTGCTGATTACGCTTCAATTTCCTAATCCGAATGGGTCCGCAGAGCGTCCAGTAGGGAGAAATCCTGGAAAAGGCAAATCCTTTAGAGGTCGAAAATTTCAAAACGAATTCTTTCATCCCTTTCTCGTTTGCATCAGTTTTGTCACCTGGCACGAAATATCCCCTAAGGAGCTCATAATAACACCGCTTTCGATAAAACCCTGCATATCAGTTGTTCTTAACTCCATATTAAGGCCATATAAAACCTATATACAACTAGATTACAACATAGTAAACAGTCGACCGCTACACCTATAACGTCACATTCAAAACAGCAACATGATATATGATTCAATATTATTTGGACAGATTTTATGGTGACTTACCATTGAATGTTTCTTTCTCCTGATATTTATACATCGTTTCCAGCTCCTAGTCTAGACAACAATGGCAAGCCTCCTGAAAAACACGGCAGAAATGTGCGACCGCTCCTTAGCAGCTGGCCAGATGGACTTGTAATGCCCGAGTTACCTGAAGGTTTGATTTCGTCTGTAATGGGCCCTTTGGAGAGAGGTTGGAGAGGTTCGTCTGAAGTGGTCATAGTAGATATATCCATTACGATTCTGCCTTGCACGGGGTGTTTGTAGGCCTGACCACACGGATTCCAGCAGACAATACCAGAATTGAATTGTCGATAACGTAAAGTTTATTAAATCAAGGGTTTGGAACGGGACGAATCGTGGGTTAGGGTCAAATGATAAACGGGGGAACGACAGTAAGGTAGGTTAAACCAGAAGATATGCCCGAGCTTCTCCCGATTTATCCTCCTTCTTGTCCAGGTGTCGGTACGCGTTGTAGCGGCCGAGGACGTCAAGGGTAGCAAACACCAGAATAAGAGAACGCTGAGAGTAGACCCTGGAAGAGAGTAATCTGAACAGAGTCGTTAGCATCTCTGAATACTCATTCACATGCAGCAGAAGAGGGCACGTCTGGAACGGAATACAAAAAAGTATAACAAGACGGTCATGAAAGGTACGTATAACAATAATAGTTACTCGTACAGTTGGAATGAGTTATAGCCATCAGATAACCTGTCTGGGTGAAGAGGCGATACCGACATGCCAGCTAAATAACCGGTGGGGAGCGCAGCGCTGTGCGCAACTGCAGGGGAGGGCCAAGGGAGGCGCCGATGTTGTGAGACGGAGAACGAGGCGAGCGTTACGGCACGGTTCGGTAAGGGGAAAGGGATCGGAGGAAGAGAGAGGAAGGGACACCGGCCATCTTCGCTGACACGCGGTTACGCCATCTCCACCCTAGGTCCTCGCGCCAAAAGTTTCACGCCATTCAAACAATACTGTTCAAGTACAGGGGCTTTACAGCGTGACTCCGCCTTCTGCGCGTCCGCTTGGTGATCCGTAACCGTGGCCTCAAAGGAAGCGGAATGTCGCTCAGGGGAGCATTAACAAAGGAATTAAAACAAACTTAACTACAAATATCTGTACTTTACAGACTGACAACCACCAACTAGAAAACACCCTAATTTACCCAACTGGAAAACACTTCCAAGGTCAGGCCGATATCTAAGTACTGCAATTTTCATGAAGGATATATTAATCATGCCCACGAAATCTACCAAAATTCACACTTCAATTTTTATATTGTATATATGATTCTTTTTTTGAAACTTTTGCAATTATTTTGCTTTGGAACTCACGTATTTTAATTTGAAACAAACTCCCGTTATGCTCTATTTGCTAAACCGATACCCGAAACAGATGAAGTCAAAGTGCAGGTGAATAGATGAGTTAGTTTGAGTTTATTTTTCTGAGTTCAAAGTAGAATGACAGGGCCCAAGGGGCGCAAAAAGAAAACTACTCTATTCTACTTCTGCACGTCAATCTCACTCAGGCCACCTAACGCTTTCGTCTATCTCCAGATAAACAGCAGATGCAGTTGACCTTAACAGCTGTCACGGTGGGTCTCATAGGATGTCTATGAATTTATCTACATCAGCTGAAGAGATAGCACCTGATTTTGACGAGGTCCTACGAGTTCTCTACATGCCAAGGTCATAGTCAAGCCGCTGGTTTTAAATTTGAAGATAAGTGGAGGATATTATTTTAAGTGGTTTTTCTGTGAGACCGAACGATTTTAGTACCTGTTTTTTGGTTCAATTTCCTTAAGTACAGGCCTCTTCTGTCAGAACTGCCTGCTGCCATCTCCTTTTGAATTCTGCTAGTCTATGCCCGTTGTTCACTGATCGTACTCTGTAATTCTCATTTTGTGCATCCGATTTCTCTCTAACTGTTGTAATTTATTTTTACATCGTTAGCCCCTAGCTGAAATTCAGTCAACTTGTCTGCCAGAAGTTTTCTTAATCGCAAATTGCCTCGAGACAAGATAAGACCAAAAGTCACTGTTCGACGTAAGCTCTCGGCTTTTGTAAGTAAGCATGGCCCAACTAAACGTAAGTCAGAAGCTTTACCTAAATCTAACTCAGATGATATTACTAGTCAGTCGTCAACCGTTGTAATTGGTCGGCAGCTTGATTTGTCTGCACTTGACCACTGCAATGACTTTATGCTTAAGTTTGGCTCTTTGCTGACAATTCTTAGACATTTATTCGACGGGAACATCTCCGATATTCACTCTGAAGAATGTAGGCGTCTCGACTCACTTGTTCACCTGATCGCCAGTGAATCTAATGATAGACAGAAGCGTTCTTACAACTTCCGGCTAAAAAATGTTCCTCGATCTGCTCGGCCAATTGATGTTGCGACCAATTTCCTGTATTCAAGTGGTTTCAACTACAAAATAGTCGATGCCAAACGCTTGTCCTCCCGTAGCAAAAATCCGCCCATCTTAGTCAAATTATTTTTATCAATCGAGGTTGACACAATCTTTACCCATCGAGAGCGTGTCACTGCGTTCCTAGAAAAGGCAAAATTTTTCCTTTGTCATGATCTTACCCCCTATGGAGCGTAGAATCGGGTCTTTATTCTCACGTAAACCCACTGCTTCTCAGTCGAATGCTCCCCAACTCGGTCATAATACAAGTGGCCGTAAGGATTCAGCTTCTCCTACTCCTGCGACATCAGACTCCCTCCTTTCTCTTTCTCCTACATCTCCATCTCACTCAAGCCACTTGACGCATTTGCCTGCCCCTAAACTAGCAACAGCAGCAGCCCCATTTGTCGTTTCGTATCCTCCGGATAGTCACGCTGAGACACATGAAAATCCGTCTACATCAGCTAGACCGAAAACTTCTGTTGTCCAACTGGGTGCTGTAAGGTCTACAGTAAAGTCACCAGTGGCTTGGCGTCAGAACGGTGAGACTCGAAATTTGAATCAGAATCCGACCAAAAAGATAGGTAATACAGTTCCATTTGGAGGTACGACGCCTTCTCTTAGATCTAACAAGCCTGTTCAGCCCAGCACGTCTACAAACCCCGCAGCTCCAATTATATCCCCGAATAATTCTCTGTCCTGCGTACCGGTTACTTATCAAAGCCCTACTATATATCCAGCAAATAATTCATACCTGAATTGCCATAAATCATTTATGCCCCAACCTAGTTCAAGCTTCCCACCACTTAAGGCCAATTGCTCTCAGGTACGTCAACCTACCTCATTTGACTTGCAACCTAGACTTGGTTTCCCACCCTTTCATTCTTATAGCGGCCTACCCTCATCCACTAGCCCCTACTTTCCTTCTAGCCTCCCTCCTCCTCCACTATTTAACCATCAACAAGTCTATCCATTTTCTAACTCCCCTAGCATAGCATATAGAAGCGAAGAGACGAGACAGGAAGTAGTCTTGAAGAAGGAGACACGATCGCCGGGACAAGAGCTTTATTAGCCTGACGTTCCGAAGTCCTACTCGAATCCATCATCAGAGACAAAAAAGCAGAAACGGGTGGTTGCTGCACAAGGGGCTGCGGCATTTATGGGATGCAGTAGCCATGCTGTCGCATACCTATGAACATTCACGGCTCCCCCCTTCATCCGGAATCGTCGCACTTGGTGTGATCACTGCTTGATGGCCGACATTCGAGTCGATAATTGCTGCAATTTCATCACGTGCGTTAGATGTTGGCGTGATGATTGCTCGACCATCTGACGCACCGACCCCGGTGTTGGGAAAAGTGTTCACCTCTGGGCTCCCCGCATGGCTTCTTACTCCGCCTAGGCGACATTTTGCACGTAGTATGGAGTGGGAAGCTCGTTGCACTTGTTGATGGACTGGGGGCCAGTAAACCATGATCCCAGTAGCTCACGGCTCACGCGGTTGTCACCTTTTGCGAGATTTCGGCCTCGTCGAATTTGAATGTGTGGCCGGATCTTGTCGAATGAGCCGCAACTCGAGAGCTGGCGTCATTTCTGCGCACCGCTGCCGCGTGTTCGGCCATTCTCGTTCGGAGCTGTCTTCCGGTTTCTCCGACGTAGTTGCTTTGTCCGCAACTGCACTAGATCCGATAAACGACTCCAGACGTTTCTAGCCGTGGCAGTGGGTCTTTCGGTTTCATGACCAGACGCCTGATTGTTGCCTCCGGTCTGTGTGCCACTCCAACCCCAAGTTGTGCGAGAAGGCGGCCGACAGCTTCCGAAACGTTCTTGACATACGGAAGTGCCCGCCAAGATTTGGTGTCCGTGCGGTTAGGCCTTTCGTCCCTTTTGCGTATGCACCGTAAGACGAAGTTGCGCGGGTAGCCATTGGCTTTGAAGACCCGTCGGAGGTATTGTAGTTCGGCAATTTTGTCTTCTGGCTCACTGAAGTGCGTTTCGACACGTTGATAGAGCGTCCTTACACAACTGCGTTTGTGGCTGATTGGGTGGTTACTGTTGAAGTTCAGTACTTGCATCGTATTTGTCGCTTTCCTGAACACTTTGGTTTTAAGTTCACCACAATCTTTGCGGCATACGAGGACATCCAGGAAGGCCAGCTGGTTGTTCTCTTCCTCCTCCATCGTAAATTGAATGTCCGGGAAGACGGCGTTGAGATGTTCTTGGAATGTCAACACCTGATCCCTATCGATGACGACGAAGGTGTCATCCAAATACCGGGCCCAGAATTTCGGTCTGTGGTGTTGGAAGACCAGCGATTCTAACCGTTGCAGGACCGCCTCGGCGATGAATCCCGAAATCGGCGAACCCACTGGTGTGCCCTTCACATGTTCGTAGATTGTCCCGTAGAACGTGAAGTACGTCCTGAGACAGAGCTTCAGGAGTTGAAGGATTTGGGCGTGTCCAAGACGGTTCTCCGTTTCATCGTATTTGCTTTGTAGTAGATGCTCAATTGTCTCGATCGCCAGGTCCTGGGGAATGGAAGTAAAAAGGGATGTAACATCAAAAGTTACCATGACCTCATTTGGATGGATGCTTACCCCTTTGAGTTTCTCCAGAAATTGTACTGACGAAGAGACCGTGGTGTCTGACTCAGCGGTCAGGAACTTGAGACGCCGGAACTGCCACTTAGGCAGTCCGTACGTTGGAGTCCCTTTGAGCGACACGATGGGTCGGAGGGGATCGCCGTCTTTGTGCACCTTAGGAAGGCCATAGAATCGGGCTAAAGCCGTAACTTGGGGTCTCGCCATGCGTCTGTCTGTCGGTGTTATTGCACCTGAGTACTCCAAGGCCAACAACGTAGCATAAATTTCGCGTGTCAGCGCCTTTGAAGGGTTCGTTGCACATGCGACATAGAACTGGCTAATAAAGATCTTGTCCAGGCGATCGTGTCTCCTTCTTCAAGACTACTTACTGGGACTCATCTCTTCGCTTCTATTGGCAATGTATTTGGACGCAATGCGCTCCGATCGGCCCGCCGACGGGAAACATTCGCCCTTCGGGAGGCCTCTACGTATTAGCAGTTCCGGTTTCTGCACAGGTGTCTCGAGAATAATGCGTTACCGAAATGTGTTTCATGCAAAACACCGGTTCACAAGGATTTGGCGAGACGAGCTGAAATACAGCACGGCATAAGAATGACCCGAGTGCTCCACCAAAATTGCCAGGCGAGACTTCGGAAGTACCGACAAAGGATGGCGTGCTAGTAGTGGAAGTCATTAATTTGTAATGGTAGTAGTAGAAGTGATAGATGTAGTAGTAGAAGCAGTAGAATTAGTAGTAGTAGTAGTAGAAGTGACAGTTTTAGTAGTAGTAGTAGTAGTAGTAGTAGAAGTGATAGTTTTAGTAGTATTATTATTACTATTATTATTATTATTATTATAAGTAGTAGTAGTAGTTGTAGTAGTAGTAGTAGTAGTAGTAGTAGAAGTAGTAGTAGTAGTTTAGTAGTGATGATGATCTTAGAATTTGCACTAGTGTGTATTACGTGTGAGTGGCTGGATACGGGGACGCATGTCTCATTAGTCATGGCGAGCATCGTCCTCTTCCCTGATCCTCGCAATGTCTGAGGACTGCAATTTATGCAGCTGAGAGGCATGGTATGCTAGTAGCTTGCTCCATGATGCAGTTGTCTACAAATGCATCCCGCTGAATGAGACAGCAGCTTCCGTACTCAGTACAGACAGTGGTTCACCAGGATGATTGTTGAAGAGGTTGTGGCCGGCATTACCCGGATGAAATGAAGGGCTGTAGATGGACGCTACTGAAGTGAAGTAAGTAGAAGATGATGGGCATTAGGAAGTGTTTGAAGGAGACATGCTGGAGGTGGTGAGGATGCGAAAGAAGATGGAGAAGGGGATGTGAGTGAGGATGAGGATTGGATTGATGTGATAGGGATGAAGTGGTGAATGATGATTATTGAATGGGAATAAAGGCAGGGGCAATGTGTGGTGTAGTAGGTGGGGCATGAGTTGTTGGCCGAACTTCAATGGCAAACAGTTCTCTGTGTTAAGCATGCCCATGGCACCTGGTGGATGCTGGCCTTTGCACGTCGGCGTGTTGATTCCTAAGACTGACTCAAATTGGGTTCGCTCGTATGCAGAGTGTTTTGCAATTGAGGGGCCCTGAGGCAACACTTGCATATGCAATCCAAGACAATGCCTGCTTATCAAGGCATCACCCCCAAATCTGCTGCATCTATGTCACCCTCAACTACAACTCACAACGGCTCTTCCAAACACCACATCTTCATCCACACCTACCAAGCAAATCATGACATCATCCACCTCTCCACTTCATCCTGCACCCTTTCATCTGCTCTTCGCATAGTACCAGTCTCTTCGTTTCCAATACTTACGCATCACACAAACTGCTGCACAAATAACACTTACCATCTCATAATTCTACCTGCTACTACTACTACTACTACTACTGCACCTCATATAACTACTGCTACGCCATCTCCTCCTCCCATTCATGTCTCTACTTCTGCACCCCTGAATCTCCTAATTCGCCGAGAGCAACAATTACACCATGTCACCAATCTAGGCGCTACAGGGCGGCTTCATGTAAGTCACTCATTACTTGTCGTGAGATGCCATGCTTGCTTCTTCACATGGTTGGTGATGGTGTCAGGCATGTGGGCATGTGGAGAGTATGCATGCCAAGTCAATGGAGTCTAACGTGCTACCAGTGCTACTGTGGCGGCCACAAGCAGTCAGTCATATTTCAAGGAGGCTAGTGTGGACTTCACGAATTGCTGTCGGGATAAATGCCAATGCGAGTAATCATGGCTGGGCGTGTTGTGTGTGTTTGCACCTAGAATGAAGCAGGCGGTGCATGCGCTGGATTAACACAGAAGCAATATGAGAAGACGATATGAGTTATTAGTAATGCACACTCCAGAGAAATGCCTGGCATAGAAGAAGCAAACTGGAATAATCCCTTTCAAGTAGTTGTATTAGTAGTGGCACCGGTAATGGTTGCAGTAATTGTGGTAGTATTAGAAGTTTTAGTAGATATATTTGTAGTAATAGTAGTAATAGCATTAATTGCACTGGTATATTTTCTAGTTTGGCCTGATATATTTGATGTTGAATCGGCATAATAGTAGTGGAAGTGATTAATATGTAATGGTAGTAGAAGCAGTCGTATCAGAATTAGTAGTTGTTGTAGTATTAGTAGTAGTAGAAGTAATAGTAGTATTAGTAGAAGTAGTAGTAGTAGTAGTAGTAGTAGAAGTAGTAGTAGTAGTGATAGTAGTAGTAGTAGTAGAAGTAGTAGTAGTAGTAGTAGTAGTAGTAGTAGTAGTAGTAGTAGTAGTAGTAGTAGTAGTAGTAGTAGTAGTAGTATTAGTAGCAGTAGTAGTAGTAGTGATGATGATGATGATCTTAGCATTTGCAATAGTATGTATTACGTGTGATTTGCTGAATACGTGGACGCATGTCTCATTATTTATGGCGAGCATCGTCCTCTTCCCTGAACCTCGCAATGTCTGAGGACTGCAATGTGTGCAGCTGAGAGGCATGGTATGCTAGTAGCTTGCTCCATGATGCAGTTGTCTACAAATGCATCCCGCTGAATGAGACAGCAGCTTCCGTACTCAGTACAGTAAGTGGTTCACCAGGATGATTGGTGAAGAGGTTGTGGCCGGCATTACCCGGATGAAATGAAGGGCTGTAGATGGACTCTACTGAAGTGAAGTAAGTAGAAGATGAGGGGCATAAGGAAGTGTTAGAAGGAGACATGCTGGAGGTAGTGAGGATGCGAAAGAAAATGGAGAAGGGTATGTGAGTGGGGATGAGGATTGGATTGGTGTGATAGGGATGGAGTGGTGAATGATGATTATTGAATGGCAATATAGGCAGGGGCAATGTGTGGTGTAGTAGGTGGGGCCTGAGTTGTTTGCAGAACTTCAATGACAAACAGTTCGCTGTGTTAAGCAGGCCCATGGCACCTGGTGGATGCTGGCCGTCGCACTCCGGCGTGTTGATTCCTAAGACTGACTCGAATTGGGTTCGCTCGTGTGCAGTGTTTTCCAATTGAGGGGCCCTGAGGGAACACTTGCATATGCAACCCAAGACAATGCCCGCTGATCGAGGCATCACCCCCAAATCTGCTGCATCTTTGTCACCCTCAACTACAACTCACAACGGCTCTTCCAAACACCACATCTTCATCCACACCTACCAAGCAAATCATGATATCATCTACCTCATCCTGCACCCCTATATCTGCTCTTCACATATTAACTGACTCCTCATTTCCAATGCTTACGCATCACACAACCTGCTGCACAACAAACATTGCACATCTCATAATGTTTTCTTGTACTACTACTACTAATACTACTACTACTACTTCTATTTCTACTACTCCTACTACTACAAAGACTACTACTACTAATATGACCACTGCACCTACTAATACCACTACTCATACTACTACGTGAACTTCTACTTATACTGCTATTATCACTATTAATACTAATCCTACTACTACGACTACTACTGCTAGTAGCACTACTACTACATAGTCTCCTACTATTACTACTAATATTACCACTGCACCTAATACTACCACTACTTATACTACTGAAACAACTGCTACTGATACTGATTTTATTACTATTAATACTACTTCTACTTCTACAACTACTACTACTATTACTCCTACTAGTACTACTACCACTACAACTTATACTACTCCTAATACAACTGCTGCTATGCCTACTCCTCCTCCCATTCATGTCTCTGCTTCTTCACTCCTAAATCTCCTATTTCGCCGAGAGCAACAATTACGCCAAGTCGCGCAACGAGGCCCTACAGTGCGGCTTCATATATGTCACAAATTACTTGTCGTGAGATGCCTTGCTTGCTCCTTCACATGGGTGGCGATTATGTAAGGCATGTGGGCATGTGGAGAGTATGCATGTCAAGTGAATGGAGTCTAGTGTGCTTCCAATGCTACTGTGGCGTCCACAAGCAGTCAGTCATATTTCACGGAGGATAGTGTTGACTTCACGATCTGCTGTCGGGATAAATTCCAATGCGTGTAAAAGTGGCTGGGCGGGTTGTTTGTGTTTGCAACTAGAATGATGCAGGCGGTGGATGCGCTGGATTAACACAGAGGCAAGAGGAGATCAAGATAATAGTTATTAGTAATGCACACTCCTGAGGAATGCCTGGCATATAGGAATCAAACTGGAATAATCCTTTTCTAGTAGTTGTATTGGTAGTGGCACCGGTAATACTTGCAGTAATGGTGGTAGTATTAGGAGTTTAAGCAGATGTTGTTGTTGTAAAAGTTGTTATATCATTGTAAAGGAGATGAAGATCCGATCTCTGGGACAGTGGTTTTATTAGTCTGAGCTTTCGGTCTCGTACAGGAGGCCATTGACAGTGTCTGTGAGAAGGCATCATCAAGTGAGCGGTTTTTGTAGTCACGCCATGAAGGGGGGGGAGAGATATGAGTGCAGCGGGTGGTATTCTCGATAAGTTGCGTCCCACGTCGTCTCACTGTGGCGTGACTGCGTGCACCCTTGGGTGAAAATTGGGTCTCGCCCGTTGGCCGCGGGAACGGAGCGCGTGATAACAGAAGGGTATTTTAACGTGCCTGTTGATAGAGTTGGTGCCAGACACCCAGGCCTCTAACAGTTCACGTCCTGTCTTATTGCTGGCCCGCGCCACTATCCGCATGCTCCCAAAGTTGAATTCGTGGCCTTCCTCCAGGGTGTGAGTGGCGATCTGAG